CATTTTCGCTACTGCATGATGAAGACTCAAAGGCAGGAATGTTGCATATGACACATAGTAGAGGCTTGATAATTATTTTATTATTATTTACTTATTTGTCTACTTATTTGTTTAGTAAAAATAATTAACTCAAATAAATCAAAACCAATGTGGGAAGCACAATTTTTAAAAAATAATAATTCAGAAAACTAAGAAAAGTTATAGCCCATAAACAATTAAAAAATATTAGCTATGCAAAAGCAATGATTAGAGAAGAATAATTAACTCTTAAAAATTCAAAATATTAAAAATAAAATATATAGTTCAATATAACACTGTGAGGAGTTGGTAAAGAAAATCTCCAAGAGAGTCAAGAGAAATGTAAGATATGAACAATGGGAAAGAAAAATAAGAATGTAAGAGGTCAATCCTGGAAGTCAAATGTCTGACTAAGAGAAATTTCTATAGTAACAGAAAAAGTAGAGAGGAGGTAACAATTTAAGATAAAATGCAAGAATGTTTTCTGGAATGGAAGGAACAGTCTCATGATTGAAAGGCCCTCCAAGTGCTCTACAAACTAAATGAAAAAAAAAAGCCATCAAAGTACTGCTTATAGAACTTCAGAATCTGAAGCTACAAGAGGATTTTCTACTTATGTAAACTTCAAAAATATCATATGGAGCCAAAATAAGTTAGAGGGTATACACATTTTACACATTTTATTTTATTTTTTTCATTTTAAATGTATTATTTGAGTATAGTTGATCCACAATATTACATTAGTTTCAGGGGTGTGATATAGTGATTCAACATCTCTACACATTATGCTATGCTCACCACAAGTGTAACTACCATCTGTCACCATACAATGCTATTACAATACCATCGATTATATTGCCTATATTGTACCTTTTACTCCCATGACTTACTCACTCCATAACCAGAAGCCTGTATCTCCCACTCCCCTTCACCCATTTTGCCCATCCCACCCATCCCCCTCCCCTCGGGCAACCATCAGTTCTCTGTATTTACAAGTCTGATTCTGCTTTTTGTTTTTTTGTTTATTCATTTCTTTTGGTTTTTTTAGGTTTCACATGAGTGAATATACACATTTTAAAACCTAAAAACAATATTTTATGTTATTAATGAATATGTAAACTATAAAAAACTTTCATGAGACTATTAATCCAAAATCATGATAATAATTATCTATGGAGGAAGAGAGAGGGAAATAATATTTAGGAGGAGTACAGAGGCAGCATTATTTATCTGTATAAAATTTTATGAAAAGAATGACAGCAAGCAAATGTAGCATCAGATTTAATGAGGCTGAATGATGGGTATAATGATATTGCTGTAATACCCTCTACACTTTTCAATGTTTTTGAAACATTTCACTATTGAAAACAAAATAATGTAAGAGAACAGAAAAAAGAAAACAGGTTATATTAAAAATTGCAGGAAACAAAATGGTATCAAGTTTCTTAACTGTTATAGTAGAAACAAGAAGATAATGGAGAAATATTCACCCACTCTGAGAGGAAATCATCTTCAACCAAGAAGCATATATCCAGCCAAAATATCAATCAATTAATATAAAAGCTGAATGAAAACACATAAGGCTTAGCATCATTCACCTATTCTTAGGAAACCAGTGAATTTTGTACTCTGCAAAACAAGGGAGAAAACCTAGTAAGAGACATGAGAGCTGTTAAGAAAAATTGCACTGGACAATTGTTAAAAATGGCAAGACAGGTTTTCTTAATTGCTGTAGTAGGGAAGAGAGATGTCAGTATAGAACTGAGCTCAACCCCAAGTTAAACAGGCAAGAGAGATTTTATTTATGACTGTCACAACAAGAGAGAGAACTTAAAATCAATTCCACTAAAACAAAAGTTGGGAGGATTTGTAAAGGCTGGGCTGAGCTAATGGAAAAGTACCCAAGGACATTGTGGGGGAGGTTAGTCAATGTGATTAGGCCATCTGTGTTTGTTAATTGTTGCTTCTCAGGGTTAGGCTTCTACCCATCCACAGAGACTGAGAGATGATGATGCTATCTTTCTTGACAATTACATTTCAAAGAAATGGCTTCCAGGGCCTTGGAGAAAGACATTCCTAAGTTTTAGAAAATTTACATCTTGAAGGAGCAAAGGAAGAATTTATAATTGCAAGTTTTCTAAAGAAAATGCTCTAAGGAAAGTGAGGTCAAGGGCTGTACTCAGGAAGAAACCTGTTTAGTCAAACAGGGGAATGTTAAGGTCATCTTAGTCAAATACAGGAAACTGGGGATCCACATAAGAGAGAACTGATGATATTAAGTGAAGCCCCATGTCCAAATTTATGCATCAGTTACATAGAGACTGATGAGAGCAGAAGACTGTGGGATTCCAGTTTAGAGGCCCCCAGGAAAAAACAGACAAAAAAGGAACTGATTGGTCCTAAAGTGTTAGACCATGTAGAAGTTAATACTGAATGAGTTTTTACAGTTCCGTTGGTCAGTTTAAAAAGAATTAGTCATAGAAAGAGTACAGAAAGGTAGTGAAAAATATGCCACAAAAAAGTAAAGAAATCAATAACAGATAACTGGAAAATCCCCAAATACTCGGTAATTAAAGGTACATTTCTAAATAACACATGGATCAAAAAAGAAATCTCAAGAGAAACTAAAACTTATTTTTAATAAATTAAATGAAAATACAACATATCAAACTATGCAGTGCAATGAAAGCAGTGCTTAGAAGGAAATTTATAGAATTGAATGCTTATATTAGAAAAAGAAGAAAGATCTAAAATCAATAACCAAGCTTCTATCTTAAGGTACTGGAAAAAGCAGGGCAAATTAAAACCAAAGTAAACTGAAAGAAAAGAAATAATAAAGATTAAAGCAGAAATAAAATTCAGAACAGAAAAACAATGGAGAAAATCAATTAAATCAAAAACTGGTTCTTTAGGGGTGTCTGGGTAGCTCAGTCATTAAGCATCTGCCTTTGGCTCAGGTCATAATCCCAGGGTCCTGGGATCCAGCCCTGCATCAGGCTCCCTGCTTAACGGGAAGCCTGCTTCCCCCTCTCCCCACCCTGCCCCCGCTTGTGTTCCCTCTCTTGCTGTGTCTCTCTCTGTCAAATAAATAAAATCTTAAAAAAAAAAAAAGCTGGTTCTTTAAAAAGATCAATAAAATTGATAAGCCTTTAGCCATGCTAAGAAAAAATTAGAGAAGACACCAATTACTAATATCAGAAATGGAAGAGGGGGCATCACTACAGATCCCATGAACACTGAAAGGGTAATAAAGGAATATTATTAACAACTCTATGCCCACAAATTTAATAACCTAGTTAACCTAGACAAATTCCTTCAAAGACACAATCTACCAAAACTCACACAAGAAGAAATAGACAATTTTAATAGGCCTATATCTATTAAAGAAATTGAATCAATAATTAATAACTTTCCAAAACAGAAAATATAAGGCCCAAATGGGTTCACTGGTAAATCTACCAAACATTTAAGAAATCATACCAACTTTCCACAATCTCTTCCATAAGATAGAAGCAGATGGAAAACTTTCTAAATCATTCCATGAAGTAAGCATTAATCTAATACCCAAACCAGACACAGATGTTACAGGAAGAGAAAACTACAGATCAATATCTCTTATAAATATAGATGCGAATATCCTCAACAAAATATTAGCAAAAAGAATCCAACAATGTACAAAAAGAATTACACACCACAACCAAGAGGGATTTATGTCAGATATACAAGACTGGTTCAGCATTCAAAAACCAATTAATGTAATCAAAAAAGTTTAGACACTTTTTGTTTGGCCATTTGCAGGTAGCTCCACCCACAGGTTTGCTTTTAAGATTTATCAGGCCTGAGCCAGAAACTAGTCTGCTGTATCTCCCAGGTTGCAAGAGATACTTTGAAGCCTTTGTCAATAGGCTGGCAAGAAAGAGAATTTACTTGCTCCCTCCATGGAGATCATGTGACTCATACCATAGTTTACTCCAGAGGAATCATCCTTCCAATCTCCAAACCCCCTGGCCACTTCAGCTGAATCCTTTCAGGCATTCGGTGTGAGCGAGTGTTCAAGGTCACAAAACCTGATTTAAGATATTTTCTATGCAGGATCTGCCTAGTTAATCCAGCACCTAGTTTTGGGAGTGAGGATATTTGGTATTTATTATCTTGTAGCACTACCACTGAGAATGAAATAATTCCATTTTCTCCCACTGACCCTCTCTGTTAGGATTGATCTTCTCTTGACTTGCTGTGTAACAGAATGTGTTTACTGTATTCCTTTTAGTCATTCTCTTTCTGGAAGAAAACATGTGTCTATGTGCTATTAATAGCTCCATGCTTGTGTATGTGATTATAAGCTCTCTAAATGCAGAAATCTACCTTCTATTCCATTTATAGCTACCCATTACCTAACATGCTGAACTTCATCTAAAGAGTTGTTGACTTATTATCTCCACCCTGGAAGAATTTGCTAATATTTCCTAAGAAATATTATGACCAAGTAATATTATGTTTTATTGAGTAAAAATCTTACAAGTTTTAGCGTTAGTCACATTATGTTAAAGTTTGCCAAATTGAAATACAACTTTAATATTTAAATGTGTAAAAGGTAAATATTCTGAGGTTGAAAAAGTAGCTGATTTAAAATAAGATGAACTTCACATGATTAAACAGTTTAAATCATTCCTTTTGTAATATTTTAAGTCCCCACAAGTAAGGGCTCTTCAGTGCTACAATTAATGTCAATCATTGATAATTTTACTAATAAATATTTTTATTTATATTATTGTAGTCAGGCAAACCTCATAAATGGAATCTATAGGTACATAACTTTCAAGTGGAACTAATAGTTTTACTTGGGATGCTTCCTTTCTGTCCATAAAATGGTGAGGGGGTGGGAAACCCACATTTCCAATTGGAAAACTCCAAGTCAGTCCTAAATAAGCTGACTAACATTTATAAAGTAATTCTCATCCTTATAAATTGCCTTCTTGCAGGAAACAGACCTTATCCTGACTTTTAATATTTCAATGCACCGATCTTGGTGGATGGAGAATGGACCAGGATGTACGGTGACATCAGTGACACCTGCACCAGACTGGGCCCCAGAAGACCATCGCTACATCACGGTCTCAGGGTGTTTTCTGGAGTACCAGTACATAGAAGTGGCTCATAGTTCCCTCCAGATTGTCCTCGCAGTAAGTGTTGACCACCAACCACTCCTTCTAGTGTTTCTGGAATTGTTTTATTTCCATGCAAATTTAGTGCACACAAATGGAATCTGTGGATAAAGTGTGGCTATTTGCTTTTTTCTAATTAATGCGTCTTTCTATAGGGATTTGTTAAGTTAAACCAGGGCATAGTAAAAGGTCATCAGTCAGTAAATCAGTAAATAGGCTTTGGTATCTTCAGCATTTTATGTAAGAAATCCAACCAGTCAAATTTTGATCATTTGGCTTTTGGTAAATAAGACCTATCCAAAGATTCCTGCAAAAAGATCAGAGAGTCTTCACAACTAACATGCTATGATGCCTAAATTTATAAGATTTCAATAGATATTTTCCCCCTATGGCTTCTTTCTGTCTGTGCTGCTAGCCCTGGGAATTCTCCTGTCTGCTCGTATTCTTCTTCCTAGACTTTCCCAAAGTGCTATTAATAGCACTGCATAACAATGCATCACCTTCTATCATTTCTCTTCTTTTTCAAAACAATTCAGCTTTTCATAAATTCTACTTCTAGGACTATCATGCCTCCATTTATCATAGTACTAAACTGAAAAAGAATCCTCCCTCTACCAGGGGGCAGTAGGAGTTATAAATGATTCCTTTGTATTTGTATCCAGTATTTATAGAACATATTTGTAATATATGTCTGTTATATAGAACATATTATTTTATGGGGTGCCTGGGTGGCTCAATTGGTTGAGCATCCCATTCTTGATTTCGGCTCAGGTCATGATCTTGGGGTCATGGGATCGAGCCCCGAGTAAGGCTACTTGCTAAGCAGGGAGTCTGCTGGGGGTTCTCTCTCTCTCCCTCTCCCTCTGCTCCTCCCCTGACTCGTGCACTCTCTCTCTCTAATAAATAAATCTTTTTAAAAAACATTATGTTGTATCATTATGACAAAGAGATAAACACATCCTTTCTCAAGGACTTTTACTAAGCCTAAATGCATAATTTTATAGGACTTATAAAGGCAACTTTATTATACATGTCTCCATTTATTTCTTATATATCCTATATGTACAGATCTACATATATTTTTCTTAGACTCCATGTAGATCTGAAACTGCTATGCATAGCCTTAAGATTGCTAATGACAAATAATGCAAATAGAATCTGCTTTTCGAGTCTTTCTTCAGTTAATTACTTTGGGAGTGATGTTAACTCACAATTCTTAAATAACAAGACATAACACGTTCTGGATAGAATGGCATCAATTAGTTCACATAAAATTCTTCTGGAACTAATAAAACCATATGAATGTATATGTATTAGATTATATAACTAATAGATAGTTATTAGATATTTTTAATGAAGAATGTATATATACATGCACATGTACATATACATACACACACATAAATTACAGTAGGCTAAGTATTCTGTGCTAGTAAACATTAACAAATCATTGTGACTAAAAATCATAAAGGTTTATTCTTATGGATCAGTAGAAAGTTCTGTCAATCACTGTCACTAAGAAAGCAAGGTTGGTGGAGAAGCCACCATCTCAGTCATCATGGGTTGCCATGCCAGAGAGCACAGATCTAGAGTATCTACATTGGCATAAAAATGCTTCTCCTTGGGAAGAGAAGCTCATTGTTCACAGTTCATTGTCTAGAACTAGTCACACAGTCCCACCCAACCACAAAATGGCCAAGAAGAAGGGAGAATGTAAATTTTGGGAGGTCAGCATAAATTATTTCCACAATATTTGAATTATGTTTTGGCTAAAGCATTGAGTGATCTCCCTTGAATATGTGCAACCTAAGTCACTTCTTTTTTTTTTTTTTTTAAAGACACATTTATTCAGCATCATGATCAGACTATTACATTTAGCAATCAACAGCATGGGTGCAAAAAAAAAAATCTACATTAAAACCCTTTGTTGGAATGCTTTACACTTTCCACAGAACAGAAACTAAAATAACCTGTTATACAATTAGTCACAAATACAGTCCTCGAGTTTTTTGCCCATACACATGAGTATTGTCTAAAACATGTCTTCTTTGTAGCAGCTAGGCCCTGCCACCACTGTGCTTGGCTGAGTTCACAAATCTGTTGTAACCTGTAGCTTCCCTGTCACTTCCCTGGCTCTCCTCTCCTGCTAAGCTTTGTTTCCTGGCAGTAATTAAAACCTTCGGCCACTGCCATAGCTACTGCTGCTGCTGGAACCACCATAGCCACCTTGGTTTCGTGGTTTGGCAAAGTATTGACCTCCACCACCATAGGGGCCAGAGCTTCTGTCTCCAAAATTTCCTCCTTTCATGGGTCCAAAATTTGAGGATTGATTGTTGTAATTACCAAAATCATTATAGCTTCTGCCACCTCCAAAGTTGCTTCCATCATTACCAAATCCGTTATAGCCATCCCCACTGCCACCATATCCACCACCACCTCGACTGCCATCAAAGCCACCTCGACCACTGAAGTTCCCTCCACGACCAAAGTTGTCATTCCCACCAAAACCACCTCCACGACCACCACCAAAGTTTCCAGAACCACTTCGACCTCTTTGGCTGGATGAAGCACTAGCCATCTCTTGCTTAGATAGGGCTTTCCTTACTTCATAGTTGTGGCCATTCACAGTATGGTATTTTTGAATGACAATCTTGTCTACAGAGTCACGGTCATCCAATGTTACAAAAGCAAAACCTCTCTTTTTGCCACTGTCTCCGTCAGTCATGATCTCGATCACTTCAATTTTCCCATACTGTTCAAAATAATCTCTTAGGTGATGTTCTTCAGTGTCTTCTTTAATGCCACCAATAAAAATCTTTTTCACAGTTAAGTGGGCACCAGGTCTTTGAGAATCTTCTCTTGAGACAGCCCTCTTTGGTTCCACAACTCTTCCATCCACCTTGTGTGGCCTCGCGTTCATGGCTGCATCCACCTCCTCCACAGTGGCATACGTGACAAACCCAAAGCCTCTGGAGCGCTTGGTGTTTGGATCTCTCATTACCACACAGTCCGTAAGCATTCCCCATTGCTCAAAATGGCTCCTCAGACTCTCATCGGTTGTTTCAAAGCTCAAACCTCTGATGAAGAGCTTCCGCAGCTGTTCAGGCTCTTTGGGAGACTCTGACTTAGACATGACGGCGGTGGGAGGGGAGACTTTAACGATGCTTACTCTGAGGCGTCCACGGGCAGAAAGCCCTAAGACACTTCTTAACAAATACACCCCTCTGGGGCACCTGGGTGGCTCAGTCGTTAAGCGTCTGCCTTTGGCTCTGGTCATGGTCCCAGGGTCCTGGGATTGAGCCCCTCATCAGGCTCCCTGCTCCGCAGGAAGTCTGCTTTCCCCTCTCCTGTTCCCCCTGCTTGTGTTCCCTCTCTCTGTGTGTCTCTCTCTGTCAAATAAATAAATAAAATCTTTAAAAAAAAATACACCCTTCTACAATACTCTTAAACTCTAAAACTTCATTTTAATTATCTTGAAATAAAAATAAGTTAGATTTGATGGGATAGAAAAAGTCATTTCATTATTTAAAATCCGTTTGGATGAAGTATTCATTCTTACAAAGGAAAAATAAAGCGTTTCTGGCATTTGGGGACAGATAATGTGTTAGAGAGGGGTTTTATATAAAACATCCCCTCACTGGAAGTTCCTTTTTTACTGGACCCACACATTTTGGAAGACTTCCACTTGTATGTCAAGGATGCTGTAAGGTTGTAGTTTATGTGCATGGATAGTTATATGTGACTGTTTTAGAGAGTTAGTTGAATTAATGTGTGTATGTATAAACTATATTCATAGATTTATTATACCCACATAAAATTTTGGCACACAGGTATTTGCTAAAAAAAAAAAAAAAAAAAATACATAATGGACATGAGGCTGACATACTGCCCAAAGTAAAATCATCTGTAAATGCGAAGAGGCTAGAGTGCAAGGAAGATGGAAGGAGGGTCCCTAAGAACAGATGTGACTGCTAATTCAAGCTCCTGGCTCTCACTGCTGTCTACATTGTCCCTATTTGAGTAGAGAAATAGTTTGAGCGAACCATCACAGGATGTGGTCTCTTTACTTCTCCCTTTTCCACCTGTTCTTCCGCCCAGGAGGCATTTTTCTTTGGCAGTGCTGACTGTGGATCACCTGAGAGTCAGTTAGCAACAGTGTACCCAAGCCAGTTACTTGGAGAATTTTCAAAACTCTTTCTGTCTTTGCGCTTGCTGTTGTCTAGCCAGCCTCAAGGCTGAAAGCATCTGCTGTGCAAAAAACCTAGAATATCTTAACTAGAGTTTTAGAATGGAAACCAAAATGGGACTTTCTGTGAACAATTTACTCTGCCTACTAATTGGAAGCCTTCCAACTAGATTTTCCTATAGTCATTCTGATCACTTCTGTTGTCATGCTTAAGAGATGAAATGGTGTCTTGAATCTCTCCTCCTCCCCTTTTCATGTTACCCAAACCGCCCCCCCCCGCCCCGCCCCAGACAATCCAACATTCAATTCAGTCAGATCCAGTGAACTCTTCCTGAGGGCTTGTCCCCTGCTGGCATTTGAGAAACAAATGACAGGATCCCTGACCTTGACGATGTCACAATAAAAAATAGGGCGAGGTTCCTCAGGATACAAACCATGTGCAAACAGGTACATTTTGGGGACGTGGTAGACAGAGAATACTGTTAGGGCAATTTCTGGTTTAATGTTGTCTTCTTAGCTCCACCCTGTTTTCTGTAAAGTCTGCTAAACTCCTGCTTCTCCTTGCTTCCACCCGTCTTTGAAGCTGCCCTCTCTTCCAGTATATCTCGCTTGGATCTGCTTTCCCAAGGGGCTGCTCGCCCAGCTACTGCTCTTGACTCACTCCAAATCTCTAGCTCATTTCCTCCAACTTCATGCAGCCTTTCTTTCACAGATTCCTGACCCCTGGCAATCCTGTCGCCCTATTGTTCGGTTTTCTGCCAATCAACTCCTAGCTGATTTGGAAATTAGCATCCACAAAGCCCACATTTGCATCGCACATACATAAGATATC